TATACTTGCAATTTCTCCCTAATTTTTTCCCCAAATGTCGGTTAGGGCTAACAGCAAATGCTAATATATGCTAGGGTATTATCCTGCAATCAATGTAATTTTCTCACGACTTGGAAGATTGGGAAAACTCGAACCAAATTTCAAAACGGGCCTACCATATAGGATATGATTTGAAGGTTATACTCGCATGCACTGAGCTGTTTGTCAATCCAAGCATTTTGGCGGCCAAAATGCGATAGCTTCAAAATTTTGAAAAACACTTTTATGCAATTTCTCTTTTACGAAAATTTGTTAACACTGGATATGATGTTAACTTTAATGAGATCGAAACCGATATCAAGTACGGATAAAATTCACCCGGAAAGCCGTCCCCCGGGATTGGCCGCTTCGGACGCCATATTTGAACTACGCATTTTACCATCGATTTTCAAAAGAATTAATCCGGCAAATCAGCAAAATATCACATCGGTGAATGTATTATTAATTAGTTTAATCTGATTAGCACGGCAGCTATGTACGCAGTTAATGTAACGTTGCAGAACGCTCAATTATCTAATTAATAATGAACTGAAAAAACAAATCCAGGAATTTTCCGGTTCATTATCGGGATGTTAAATGGAATTCGCGCGAATTGAGTTATGGCGATCAACAGTAATAAGCCACAATTCAGTTGCCCTTTTGGCGTACAAAAGGGGCTGAATTCAAAAATATTCGACCTTTAACGTTCCCGTGATAAAATAAAAATTTCGTAATTTTTCACTGTATTGCATAGTTTATCACAATCATTTGACGTCCTTTTATTTTATTAAAGACAAGCGTATTACATCTAACGCAATATCTTGGTGTAATTTTTGACCAGGGATGTCAATTACTAAGTTTTGTCACTAGACGTTATAAGATTTTTAATTTTTCAAAGAAACTCCCACAGGCTACTATAATTCACAAATCTTCTGACGTTTCGCCAACCATCCCGTTGGTATCTTCAGAGCTTAACTGAAACCGGTTCGCATTCTTCTCTGTACCTGCAATTTACTGTCTGAGGCGGAGCTAAAGAAGGGGTATGGACATTGTCTTGGATGATTTTTTCACATTGGTGTAAGATAAAGACCTGAATCGTGATTAAGATTGTTTGGTTGCTTATGGATTTTTATGATTCCCGGATTTTTCTCGTATTTCTCGCAGTTCACCAGATATCCAAGCATGTGGACATTGTATAGTTAGTCTCTGACTGCTACAAAAAGTTGTTTCAGTCAAAATATAGTAAATGAAGAAAGAAGAAATTTGCAAAAGCAAGGCAACCGTCGCCCAAGTAGTTAATTCATTTTTGAACTGAGGTGGCTTTTACTTGATGAAAATCCATTTAACAAAATAAATAACAACTAAAAGTTCAGATTTTCACGAAATTATACATTTTCACATGACAATTGTTTCGACAACACCGTGTCTTTATCAAATGTGATCAAGAAAAAAATTGTCTCTTTCATGTTCTTTCAGCATAGTTGATATTTTTCGTCCTGTCTCTCCAATGTATTCTTTGCCGTATATACATATACATATATATATATATATATATATATATATATATATATATATATATATATATATATATATATATATATATATATATATATATATATATATATATATATATAAATAAGAACTAAAAGTTCAGATTTTCACGAAATTATATATTTTCACATGAGAATTTTTTCGACAACACCGTGTCTTTATCAAATGTGATTAAGAAAAAAATTGTCTCTTTCAAGCCTTTCAGCATAGTTGATATTTTTCGTCCTGTCTCTCCAATGTATTCTTTGCCGTATATACGTACAATAAACTCTTGGTATCTCAAACGCATTTTGTCTTTGAAGGATCGAAGATGTTGAAACACTTTTGGGCAAGTTTTACCGTTATATTTCTAAAAAACTTTTGATATATGGCCAGTGACGTTTCAAATGTAAGCAAGAGAGAAGAGCAGGTGTTTTAATTCTGGGCTCGGTGACTCAGGTTGAGATGTTTTTACTACTCTGTAAACAAGAGAGTTGATAACCGACGATATTTGTGCGGGATGGTGAGGTGACAATGCTAAGTCTGATTTTCCATTAATAAGTGCATCTAAGAACAATTTTTAACGGTCCAACGAAATTAAAGGAACTAAAGTACGAAAAGATCAGTTTTCCCTGTAAAAAGGGTTTTACGTTTTAGGTGTTGACAATACTTCGAAGGGGTTATTTTTTGTGAATCTTAGTGAGTGACAGACTTTTCGCGGATTCTGACAGGGAAGAAACCTTAATAACAGATTTAAAGTTGCCTTCCATAAGTGAATTAGGATTTTTCTTTTAAGTTGACAATATGATCCATCTGAATACCATGAATTTTTAGTCAGTTGTGTTCATGACCACCTTTATCTGCTTTTAGAATCGTAACGTCGGGATTAAATTTTAAAGATTTTAGAGCTATTTAAAAGAGTATCCAACTCGGATAGGGACAAGAGGTAGATAATTTATCAGTCTTTTGTAGAATATGTTGGTAATATTAAAGTCATCTTATACCTGCAACATTACATTCATGCGGTTTAGTTTAGAGCGTTTAGCACAAATCTTTATGCTACTTATGTTAATTTAAATTCTCGATAATATCGGGTTAGGATTGGTATACGCCTTATTTTTGATATTCTTAATTTTAATATAGAAAGTTCTCAACTGCTTAGGAAAATAAATGTGCGGGCTCCAAAGACATTCACATAATACTGAATTTGGAGGGAACTTTATATTCCATTACAAATTTTACAATACATAAAGCCAACGGTTAGTTGAAGCACAATTCAAGTTAGCGAGAACTATTTCCCATAATATAATAATTTTTCATAAAATTAATGAATTCAGTAATAAAAAGTTTACCTTTAGTTAATAAGCTTTGTCCTTACACACTCCACATTTTTAATATGACTTGATTAATTTCACTTTAACGGCATTTAACGCAAATTATATCCTACAATTTAGTGCGCATTCATAAAAATGTTCTTCGCTGCTCGCTGTTGTTATTAGATTCGAAGAAAATATTTTTCGGGGTAACAAGGGAATAAGCAACCTCAATTTTCTTTCATTTTTCGCAATACATACGGATTTTTTTTCTTGGCGTGTGTCTCAATAATTTCATTATTAATACCATTTTATTAATTTCTATGATTTTCCTTTATTTTACTTTTTTTGTTTTATGTTTCTATTCATTTTTATATACATGGATTATGTTTTATGTTAAGTCTCTTATCGATACTGTAAAGGAAAACCGGTTTTGCTACATAAGCTTCTTGAGTTTATATGTATAGTTACGTGCCTTGTTACTTTCGAAAATCGATTAAATCGAATTTTCGAAAGTATCTGCGCTCGTATAAAAATTTTATATCTCGGTAACGGTAGGTCATATGAGATCACCGTCGAAAAAAAAAATTTTTTTTTGTCTATCCGTTCTCCGCTCTCATTTTTTGGTTTTTCCTGAATAACTTTCGAACCGTTGGAGCTACAAAATTGAAATTTGCCTCCTTTTTAACTCTACACGAAGCACATAAGTTTATAAGAAATGGCCCTGATCCGACGCCGGTATCCATCTTTTTTTCGCGATTTTCGACTATTTACTGGACCTTGCTATGAAACACGATAAGTATGAAGCAATCGACTTCATATTTGGCAACTACAATATATGCAGCTTTGCCTCGTGACAGAACGTGTTGAAAATGGGGGAGCTGGGAGGTCGGGAAGTATTAAAAAAAAATAAAAAATCGCGCGTTCAAGTGTCTACAAAAAACATAATTTTTCAAAAACTGTTTACGAGACCAAAAAAATTCTTAAACCAGAAGAAGCAGAAGATACGGTTCCATAAACTTTTATTCTTGACAATTTTTCAATAATGGGTCCCCCTCTTATTGAAAATTAAATAAACAGCAAAAACTATTATATTTAAGGATTTCAGCTATTGTACAGGGTGTTCCCGATATTCCGTGCTAAATGAGAAATGCGTTAAGTGTCCTAAATTTGCAGATATCAACTTGAAATTTAGCAGAGAAGTAAAAGTCCGTGTCCACATTTAAAATTTTACTAAGTATTTAAAAAAAATTTTTTTGGATAATTTTATCTTCCAGAAAAATATGTTTTCCTCAATAATCGTTCATCCGACCGGCAAAATTCTTTAATTGGCAGACGCCGAAGATCCAGCTAAATAAAATTTATTTCGGGCATTTTTTCGATATTTTTTTTTAAATTATGTGCAAAAAACTAAAAGACCTAGAAAATTGTTCTTTTATAAAGTAAATTATTAGCCGGAAATCAAAATTGACGTCATTGATTATTACGGCGCACGGCATGGTTTCAGAAAAAACTTATTTTCTCGAAAATCATTTACTATTTTCAAAAATTCTTGAACCAGGACGCGTGGAAAATCCAGAGCTATAACCTCTACTTCGAACAATGATCGTATCATATACAGGGTGTGTCGTTTATGGGCAAAAAATCTGAAATATCATAAAAATTTCCGTTATTGTGGGTAAATTATTGGCGATAAATGAAACCCCGTTAAAGATGGGATAATTTTGTTTGAAGAGTATCGTAAAACGTGTCGTGAGAGAGTTTCAGGTTTCGTCAATTATCCGGGGCGCGAGATATTTGGAAAAATATCATTCGACAACGATATTATTTGTGCAAATTTTAATATTTACCGATGGTTGCTGTAGCTTTGAAGTTCGCCGGGATCTGAAGGACATTTCATACAGGGTGCATGCACAATTAAATTAAATCGATTTTTCGAAAATTCCATAGTGGTCAGCACGAGCACGATAGAAAAACAATACGTGCCTTTACGCGCTACGAACTTGCCCCATTGACGATTTTTCGAAAGCAATCTTGTTAAGCTAACAGTTGAGCTCACATTCGCCACTCTTAAAAAAAAATCGGATTTTACTTATGAAATTATGTGATAAATGTGTAATATTTCTCCTTTAATTTCAGGTAATAAGAACAATGCAGCTTATACTAGCCGTATACACAGTGTGCCTTCGGGATTAGCTGATATAAATCCAATGGTGAGAATTTCTATTTAAGTATTTAATGATAAAACTTAAAAAAAAGTAATACAAGAGTAATAATATCGATTAAAAATGTAATGACGATTTTTCTATTGAACCATTCAATGCACAATCCGCTGCCAGCGGGAACTGATCCTCTAGCTTTTCTATATCGAAATATTTGCGGTCGCCTGAAACTTTTCATATAAACACGCATACACACACAGAGACGACTACGTAGGATAATGTGTCATACACACACACACCGTCTGTGTAAGACCCGGCATCAAAACAACAGCGCGCTCTGTATTTCCACTAAAAGCTTTTGGCAATGATTCCGAGAATTTTGTTTCAAGTTTATTGCGTAACGGCGAAATGGTCTGGCACGGATTCCTACGTCACGGGCGAAAATATTCAAAGCGAAAAGAGATTTTTGGAAACGGAAATTTATCACAAAGGACGACGTCGACATCGACGGCGACCAAATAACCTTGGTCCACGCAACTCCGAATAAATTTATATATAATGTTATGTTGTGGTCGCTGATAGTTGTGCTATCTACCCCCATAGGCATGTACCCAACAGGCAAATTGTCCCATGTACAGGGTGGCCTGTTTAAGAGGAGCCTATCTCGAAACCTACGGGGTTACAAAAAAAATAAATACAAAAGTTGTTATAATAACCTTTAATTTATTTTATTTTCTAATTTTTTATATACGGGGTTGTAAAAGATAGTTACGTTTTTTAAAAGAGAACACCCTACATTTTTTTGCATTTTTTGCGGTTCCTTTCAAAGACAAATTCAACGATGTATATGAGTATGGGTCTGTGATGCACCGTTTCGAACTTATTAGCGATCATCTTCAGAATTCGGGTTATGTTTAAACCATCATTGTTGGGGTGCTTATTAAAGTTTCAAATTATTTTCCATCTAATATTTTTACGAATAATGCCTTTCTTTAGGCAATCATCAAATTTAAAATATTTTCTTAAATTTGCGGTACTGTCGCGTTTCTCAATTTTCTTAAATGAGACACCCTGTATATTATTGGATTTTCGAATGGTGACTTCAATGGCAATTTCAAATATATACCATAGTACGGGTCCCTGACTTACTGTTTTGGCTTTATTGACAGATAAAATTAAAAACTGGGTATAAGATTCAAATTAGACGTAATAGTTTCATTTAGATAGTGTATTGCCGTTCGAACTCATTGATGCACTTCCAAAACTGCTGTGCGCCATATTTTTCAATGTGAATCACAAAAAAAAAATTATCGGGGCAAATCTGGACTCCACTCTCTGAAATTTTAGGATAATTGTAGCACTCGATGGTAAAGAGCGCCATCTTGCTACCAAATCAAATTTGGACGCTCTTTTTTGGAAAATTATTATGTATAAGTGGTCGAATTTCGATCCTTAATAAGTTTAAATATCGTACGATTGTTAAATTTTGTTTGTAACATATGGGTCCTAAAATTCTAGATATCCAGATTGTGTACCATACTTTCACGGATCTTCGCCCCTGCTTGTTTACTTCAAAAACACATTTTTTATTTTCTGAATACCGCAGACGTTGTAAATAATGATTCATCGGTCCAAATTATATTTTAAAATATGTTATCTAAAAAATGCCTATCCATCAACATATTGCAAAATTTGAGGCATAAGTTAAAATCTGCTTGTTGTAGCTTTTGCACTGTGAGTTTAAATGGCTTATGATTGTTAATTTTTAAACACGTTTGAAGTGTGGTTCGTCTTACGTCTACATCTGAAGCGATAAGGCAGGTTTTGAAAATGCATGTTTTCGTCCAAAACTGTTCTACTTTTTTTCAATAAAACAATGTCATTTGTTCGAAAGTGCAGCAATATTTTATCTGAGAACAAGAGTCGGACTTTTGTTATTGGCGATGTAGCATTCTATTAGGTCAGCTTTTTACTCCTTCACATACATTACATATATTATTAAGCCCGAAAAAATACGCTTAAAATATTATAATTCACCGATACCACAACAAAGAAATACTATTGTTTTCAAAGCTATTGCTATGATTATGTCAAAAAAGTCGAAATGAATAATATCATCAATTTTGTGATTGTGTTTTTCAACAGATGTCTATATATTGTGGTGGATTGTGGACATGTGGTTTATATTATTAAGAATATGGATATTTTTTTAAAAGTGTTTTTCCATTTAAAGACGCAAACGTGGCAACACCGCGCATTTTAAAAGCGAAGATTATCAAATATCGTATCATATATATCGTTGAATTTTTTTTGAAAGGACTATCCAAAAATGCAATAAAATATTGGGTGTTTTATTTTAAAAAATGTAACTTTGTTTTACCACCAAAAATAAAGGTCATTTTAATAGAAACAAATTGAATTTAATTTTTTTTGTTACCGCCGTAGATTTCGAGATAAGGGCCACCCTGTACCTCTTGGCATTAGTAGATTAGTTTAATTTCTATTCATTTGGCGAACAAAGGCGATTTAAAAAATAATATGCGAAATTATACTTTCTAATTAGAAGATTTTCATTTATTGGATGTTATAGGCACAAATAATCCTATTAGGTCCTTATCAGTAACCTTTCCTTCTCAGAAAATTTATAAAATATTTTGCATCTCTCATTTCTTCCACTACTTTTAGGTGTTCTTCTTGCAATACTGCACTAGCAAAAAGTCATCAGGATCTCTTATGGCTTCTATATCTTGTATGAATTCTTGGTCAGATTTTGGCAGATCCGTTTCACTTTAACAGTCAGATTCATCATCACTTTAGCTCACATCTGAATCATTCGCTTGTTGGTCTACAACATCTTCATCTTTATCATCATCACAGCTTATGTTTCAGTTACTTCTTTTTTTGCTTTTATTTTCTTCTTATAGTCTATTTCTTTTTCTGGCGTCTCTGTTAGAAGTAGCGGTTTTCCAGGCGTCCTTCCTGTCAACTTTGGTTTCCTTTTCTCTGCTTTGGAACATCCGATTGTTTTTGACGCGGTTACAGATGCTGCAGTGAAGTTATCTTCCTTAAAAATACCTCTATCAAAAGGCACATCAAATCCAAAAAATGGATTGGGCAGTGTAAAAGCTTTCTGATACTCTTTTTCTGTCGGCGATTTCATAAATGCCAGATATATGATTGGGTTACCGACCAATCATTGAAAGCTTGCTTCGAATTGGTTTTAAATGGGCCATATAGCGCAACGTCAGGAGGCTGAAGACGGTGTGTACAATGTGGGGGAACGTAATAAAAATAATTCCATTTTCTCTACGATATAAAATTGTTTCGAGACTGGGAGACTCATGGTTGTTCATAATAATCAATATATATATTGTTGACCAATCCAATACTTCCTGTGGGCGCACTTTCCATAAAAGCTCCACTTATTATAGCGCAAAATGTGTTCTACCCGTTCTGCAGATATTACCTGACTCATTTGTTTTGTACCAGTTAAAGCAACTTTCTAGTGGCACTCATCCAAATCGTAGGTTCTTTCCGGCGGTAAACCTTTCTTTAAATTATCAAAAAACTCCTCCACATTTGCTTCATCAAATCCAGAAACTCTTGTCATGGTGGTATTTTCCGGCTCGCTTAATAACTTCATTTGATATTTCTTTATAAATAATTTCATCAAATCATTTCCGCGCATAACGCTAGGCCGATATTTTACATTAAATTTTTTGAAGCCATAATTCACTTTCATACTTTGATAAATTATTTAGCAAGTTGTTCCCCTTGGACAGATGTGAACACAAACTTGGGTATTATCTCACAAATCTCAAAAGCATACTTTGAATACCCTTATAAATTGTACATAAATCCAAATGTAATTTTAGCGCACTAGTGTTCAATTAAAACGTTGTTGGGATAAAATTAAAAGAAAACGCAAAAAATAATTAGCTGAGGAACGACGTTCGAGAATGCTTACAGGAGGTGGCGAATTCATGCCTGATAAAATTTTAATTCCTGATGTTGATGAAGTTGTTCCGCACTTAACGGAACATGTGGAAAATCCTTTTGATTCAGATGGCAAATTTGAATTAGCAGAAAAAGATTATACACTTCTAGGTAAAACTAAATTCATTATGTGCAACTATTTTTATTCAAAATTATTTTAAAAAATCGAATTTAGATTACATATATTTTTAGATATGTCCGGACCTTCACATACAATAACAAAAGACCAGTCATCATTAACAGAAGATAATAATGCACCATCCACCATCCACCATCTGTTATCCTAGCTTCACGTGAAATAGAAGTTCCATCGACACCTTTAAGCAGCGATTCTATTTCTCTTAAAAGGGTATATCCGGATGACAAAAAAATATTAAACAAGCAAAAAGAAAAAGTTGTTGTTGCTAAATCGAGTAGCGACTTGAATGCTCTTTTTAAGGTGAGGATTGTTAATGCCAAATTAGAAAGGCAGCATTTAATAGACATCCACGAAATAAACAAACAAGAAGCTATTGAAAAAAGAGAAGAGGCGAAAATTAGAAGGCAAATAGCGGAAGTGGAGTTATCATTAAAAAGGGAGGAATTACGTCAACTTTTATTAAATAACGATTAATTTATTATCAATTTATTAATTAAAAAATTATTTTAAATTATACTAAGTAATGCCATATATTTTAGTAATAAAGTTAGTTTTGGTTAGTTAATAGGTTTTGTAACGGGTTCAATTTGTCTTAGGCTACTTCGACTTATGTTTCTCACATGTAGGTTAATAATGCTCGAAGACTACCTATTAAATGTTTTATTCTCACAATTACACACTGTCTTAATCCTCAAAACTACTGGTATTGCTACTTCATTCTGTTCGAACACACTGTAACTGTTTAATTGCTTGGTGTGGTTTGCCTGTCCTAAAATAAATGTAAATAAGTGTAAGTCCTTGCATTTTTGCTGCAATTTAAGATGTTACTGCAGAATGCGGTTGGATTGCACGAGACGATCGTCCTGTATTCCTTCTTATTTCTGAACTAACGACAATTTCAATTCTTGTCCCTTGC